AGCCCCACCTGTTGCTTTTTCAGGCCCGAGGGAGCTCCCTTTGGTGCGGGGGACATCGGCACGCTGAGCCTGCACGTGTCCCTGAATCCCGGAGAATATTCCTACTTCAGCCCCCGCACCCTCGCTATGTGGGCCGGCCCCGAGCACTGGCGCTTCCGGCCCCGCCCACACCGTGAGTGCCAGAGCCAGGGAGCCCTGGGATTTGGGAATTCCGGCCTGGGGAGGGCTGCAGTCCTGGGATTCTGGGATGGGAGGGCTCCAGTCCTGGGATTCTAGGATTCTAGGATGGGAACCGCTCCAATTCCTTTCCAAAGTCCCATGGAACTTCTTCATTCCCAGACCTTGATTGGTTTCTGCTCCCACAAAAATCCACAGACTCCTGGATACCTGGGAGCTGAGGCCAACCCTGGCTGCTTTCCCATAAAAAAGGGGGAGATCTTTGTGGGTGCCCTTTGCCTGAAGGGGATGTTCCAGTTGGGAATGAGCCGGATGCAGTGACAGCCCCATCCCTCTTACCCCCTTCCTTCCTTCCTTCCTTCCTTCCTTCCTTCCTTCCTTCCTTCCTTCCCTTCCTTCCCTTCCTTCCCTCCCTCCCTCCCTCCTTTTTTTTTACACCTCTCTCCCTTTTTCCCCTGTGTCCCTCAGCAGCCTCGGGCCTGGACAAGGATTCCCGGCGGAGGATTCCCAAGAAGGTTTTCGAGTTGGATTTCCAGGAGGACATCGACTTCCAGGCCCATTTCCGTAAGACCAAGGTGCCCACAGAGCCCCTGGAATTCCTGGGATTTGGGCAGCTCCAGTTCTGTGTGGGAGGCACTGCAGAGCCTGCCCCTTTCCACACAGAACACTCCCTGCTTTTCCATGGAAAGCTGCTGGAGCTTTCTGGTTTTCCATTGAGCTGTCTGATCCCATTCCCAGGCATCCATAACTTTGGCCAAATCCATCCTGGAAAACCAAAATCTCCGGAGCACCACACTCCCTGCAGACTTCAACTACGAGCCCCAGAACCTGGGGCAGCTCTTCCTGAAACCCTTGGTCAAGGTGAGAGAATTCCCAAAGGAATCATCCCAGGGGGTCATCCCAGGGAGTCATCCCAGGGTGAAGGGACAAGGCCCAGCCTTTTTCCAGGAATATTTTGGAATATTTTCCTGCAGCTCAGCCGGAGCTCGGATCCAGTGGAAGCCTTGGATACGGAGGCTGGGATTGAGGACTACGACTACAACAACCCCAACGACACCTCCAACTTCTGCCCTGCCCTGCAGGTACAGCCAGGGGATCCCGTGGGAAAATCCCTGTCCAGGGAATTCCCGAGGGAAGGAATGGGAGGGGCAGGGCCCTCCTGGCAGCCCAGCCTGGGACATTCCTAGGGATGGATTTGCCAGGGAGGAGCTGCAGGAATTCCATCCCTCCCCTCTGGGTTGATACCTCCTGGAGCTTCCCTTCCTGCCAGGCCCCTCCAGGGCTGCCTGGGATTGGGATTGGGATTGGGATAAATCCTGGGATCTGTGGCAGCAGAGCCCTCCTGTCCCTGTTTGTCTCCAGATCCCAGAATCCCAGTTTGGGATGGATCAATCCCTTCTCATCCCAGCCTTCCCATGGGACAGCTCCCACTGTCCCAGGCTGGGACACTCCCAGGGATGGAAAAATTTCGGGATTGCTGCTCCCTGACCCTGCCTTGGCTTCAGCCTTGGCCCAGTTCCATGGGGATAAACCCCAATCCCGTGGGGATAAACCCCAATTCCATGAGGAAGCCGGGCAGGAATTCCCACCCTCTGGAGCAGCTCTGGTGACTCTGGTGTCCCCCCTGTGTCCCTGCAGGTCCCTGACAGCGATGATGATCCCGATGCCAACCCTGCAGAATTCCCGAGCCAGCTCCCGGCTCCTCCAGAGCTCTCCATGATCAACGGGGGGAACGTCCCGGGCTGTGGGGAGCTGGAGCTCATTGCTGAACCCCAGAAGGTGACTGGGACTGACTGGGAGCACTGGGACTGACTGGGAGCACTGGGCTGGGAATTCCTCCCTGGGCGTTGGGAATTCCTCCCTGGACTGGGCTGGAGCACAATCCTCTCAGCACCTCCAGGGTTAAAAATCCCAGGACACCCCTATGGTGCAGGATTCCAGGGATTGCCAGGATTCCTGGGATTGGGCAGGGACTGTCCTTCCCACAGGAACAATTCCTGGATTGCCATTCCCACAGGAACAATTCCTGGGATTGCCATTCCCACAGGAACAATTCCTGGGATTGCCATTCCCACAGGAACAATTCCCAAATTAAACACTGGGGGTTGGGCAACCAGGCTGCCCTCACCGTTATTGCCATGGAAAATCGGGAATGCTGACAGCTGTGGCTGTGATCCCGCTGGTGATCCCAGTGATGATCCCAGATAATCCCAGATTCCCTCCCCAGATCCATAAAATCCACATCCAGTACGCCAAGACAGCCAAGAGGATGGACATGAGGCGGCTCAAGAGGAACATGTGGGAGCTGCTGACGGAGCAGGGAGCAGCAGCGGAGGTGGGCAGGGAAATTCCTGCTGGGAATTGGCCTGGGATTTCCAGGGGTTTTCCTGGGCATCTCAGGGCCCTGCAGTTCCCGGTTTTTCCCAAGCAGGGGGAGGATCCTGGGGAAGGGACGGACTTGGAAGTGGCTGGAGAGAAAGTCCTGAGTGACCTCACCAAGGATCTGCTCCACAGGTCGGGAATGGGAGTGGGACAGGGAAAATCCTGAATGGGAATGGGAAAATCCCAAATGGGAATGAGACAGGGAATGGGGATAGGAATGGGAAGGGGAGTGGGAAAATCCCGAATGGGAATGGGGATGGGAATGGGAAGGGGAGTGGGAAAATCCTGAATGGGAATGGAGATGGGAATGAGAATGGAGATGACAACAGGACAGGGAAAATCCCTTGTGGGAATGGGAACGGGAGTGGGAAAATCCTGAATGGGAATGGGACAGGGAATATGGAAATGAGGATGGGAAAATCCCTCCAGGTGTTGGGATGGGAATGGGAAAGGGAAAACACTGAATGGGACAGGGAATGGGATTGGGAAAACCCCTCATAGGAATGGGACTGGGAATGGGAAGATCCCTGCGGGTGTTCCCAGGAAAGCCAGGCTGGCAAACCCTTCCTGGCAGGTCCAGGATCCAATCCCTGCTCCTTTGGATTCCTGGATGCTCTGGGATTCCCGGGCTGATCCCGATCCTGCTGTTCCGCAGGCTCCCTCCTGCCATGGCCACCGACCTGTCAGTGCCCCTGGCCTTCGTGTGCCTCCTGCACCTGGCCAACGAGAAGGTGAGGGCTGGGAGCCACTCCCACCATCCCAGCATTCCCGGGAATGCAGCTCCTTCCTGGGATTCCATGGGATCCAGCTCTTTCCATCAGTCCTGGGAATTCCATGCAATGCAGCTCATTGCCAACAATCTTGAGATTCCATGCAATGCAGCTGAATCCCAGTTTTTCCTCTGGAATACAGCTAATTCCCAATCCATCCCAGCTCATTCCAAATCCATCCCGATTTTTCTATGGAATGCAGCTCCAGGAAATGGGAACAGTCCCAGTTTGGGCAGAGTTTGTCCCTCAGAGCTGTCCTGAGCATTCCAGACTCTGGAACAGAATTCCAGAGGCTGGGAAAGATCCCCAAGGCCACTGATTCCAAGCTGTGCCCAATCCCCACCTGGATTCCTTCCACATCCAGGGATTCCTTGGAATTCCTTCAGGAATGGAAACTCCAAACCGCCTTGGGCAGCCCCTTCCCACCTTTTCCTTCAGGAAATGCCTGCACATTCCCTGGAAGAGCCCCCAGGCAGTGGCAGGAGGGGCTGGGGTTGTTCCCAAGCCTCATTCCCACGGGATTTAATTACAAAAGGGATGGAATTCCGAGGGGAACAGAGCCCGGCCCTGCCAGACTTGGCTTTTCCTTCTCATTCCCAGAATTTGCAGCTGGAGAGCACCGAGGATCTGTCAGATGTGCTGGT